AAACCCAACCAAAACCAAATGCAATTAAACATTAAACATGTCCAGTTATACTCAAACAGATACACAGCAGAGGACAAAGGTGACCTAATGTGCTGAGGCCACCACATATCAACAGACCCAAGTGCCCCACAGCTTCCACAGGCACTTGTACCCCAGGATGAGCCCAAGCCCAGTGCAGCACAGTACCTGTGGTCTGTCCCCAGCAGCTAGTTTGTTGGATATGCTGCTTCCTTTCAAGGTGAGCTCACACTGCAGGGCAGTGGGCCAAGGGGGGACCATCAGGGACATGAGGATGTGCCAAGACCAGCAGACCCGCTGAGGAAAATCTGTCCAAGGTGAAGGACGTGTTGGGGAGATGCTGCCCTCCACTGTCGCATGGGCCCTGGTTCCCTCCTCCCAACATGTAATGAGACTGAGAAGCTAGGGTTCTCTTGGCAACATGGCTCCAGTGGGTGCCCCTCAGTTCTCTACTCTGCTTGTGACATCAGTGACTTTCATCAGGCCTTGCCCCTGCCATGAGGTGAGTACGAAACAAAGCCTGGATGTCAGGGTCAACCTGAGGCCTAGGTCAGCAGTGCTCACAAGACACGGTTGGCTGGGTGTGGTTCCAGGAGTGGTGTGGAACATGGCCCACTGTTAGCAACTTACAGTTACTCTCAAAACTGAATGAGTGAAAACAAAAGCCAGCCCGGGCCGGGGAGCAGAAATAAGTAGAAATAAGTACAACCTGCCCTGACACCCCAGACGCCATCAGTGTCACGGGCACCACAACACAGCCCCACTGCTGCCATTTCTCTAGCAAGGATCTGCGGTGTCACAGTGGCCACCCCAGTGCTTCAGCTCTTTGCAGGACACTTTGAAGTTTTAAAACTGAGGCGACAGTCATGTTTCTATTCTCTCTTTGGGATTTTTCTCATAATCTTATGATAAAGGGACACTTAGACTGAGGAGGTTCTCCTGTGATAAACACTCCACACACTCATGATGAAGATAGCACCACATGCTGCTACGTGTAGGGAGCAGAGAACTGAAAAGTAGAGCGGCCCACTGGTGTTTCCTTGAAGGGCCAACTCCTCGCCAGCACGGTCCTCTCCCACTGCACAGCCGGCGCTGCCCCCTGGCTTCCTTCACCACTTCATGTCCAGGCTGGTGGTGCAGCGCTCTGGGCTCTGGAAGGTGGTGTGCAGGGTCTCCTGGGCCCTGAGGGAGTCGGTGCCTTCCAGCCACTCCTGGTACAGCTCCTGCACGTGTGCGCTGGACTCGGGGGGCTGTACAGGGATGTCTGCATAGATGCCCTCCATCTGGCGCAGCAGGGACTTATCTGTATGTCCGTCCTTGGTCTGTGCTTGGCCTCTACCATTTAAGCATCCTAGAAGATACACACAGGAGGGCCAGTCCCACGAAGTTTCACCTCAGAGACAGGGAGTTTTGGGGTAGAGGAGGAGGGACAGGATGTGCAGCCTCATGGTCTGAACCTGGAGCTGGGCTCTAGCACATCACAGCCCTATGTACCACTATTCATATTGATGAAGGGGTAACACCAGCTCATGGTTTCCCCTTAAGCCTTTTAGAACTGGGCAGCTTGGCCTACAAATATGGGTTCCCAGCCTCCCTAAGAATCACCCAAGCCAGGAGAAAGGGAGCTATCAATTTGCTGTGACCTCTGCGGGCCCTGTGCAGCCGCAATGTGTGGACCCTGTTCTGGGCTGCATGGGTCACAGAGTCCAGAGCCTCCAGGATCTTGGAGCAAATGAATGTCACTGATTGCTCTCAGATGAGCAGATGATGCCGCCTCCCATTTGTACCCCACTCAGTCCCCAGATCTGTCTTGGTGATCCCATGGCACTCCTCTGCCACAAGATCCCTGGGTGACAGGACCAGGACAATGGCCCTCCTCATCCTGTGACTACATCGCAGTTAACCAGTCCATCTGAGTTTCTGCTTGCTTACCGTTTTCCTCCACCCTCAGTGATATGCTATCCTTAGTGGTAAAGATGACCAGCAGGTATCAGGACTGCCTTCTCCCCATGCCAACCGCAGGCCTCCAAGACAGCCCTCTCCTCCCCTCCCCTTCCTTTCTCTTCCCTCCCTACCTCTCCCCCTCCCTTCCCTGCCTTCTCAGTGCCCTCACATTGTCTGGGACCCCTCTTACATCCTCACCTGCCTGGGTCACCATGGCCTACAATGGTCCCATCTCCTTCCTTGAGAAATGGCCTACAATGGTCCCATCTCCTTCCTAGAGATGGCCTACAATGGTCCCATCTCCTTCGTAGAGAGCCATGGTGGGCCCATGCCCATTCCTAGGATCTCCTCTCACAGGTCCTCAGGCCTGGCTTCCCCCTGCACCGGACCCTGTGCTACCAGGCCCAGCTGTAGCATTCCCTTCCAGACTCCACACGGGCTCCTGAGCAGGCTTACTTGGCATCATGGGCATGGGCTTCCCTGTGGCACATCCCCAAGGGACTGTCTAAGCCTATCTAACTGTCCACGCTTCACACCTCATGATGAGGAGGGGAACCAAGTGATGGAGGACAACTCCCTACTAACTCAAGAGTGCCCCTAGCCTGCAGGGCTATCACCATGCTCACCTCCAGGACACGCGAGGACCTCCACAAAGTGGTATGGGAACTTGCCCTTCCTGAGCTTCAGGACCAAGTTTTGGACATTCCGAAACCCATATGCAGCAGCAAAACGCAGCAGAACCTCTCCATTCTTTTCAAGGGTGACCTCCTGGAAGTCTTTGTTTCTGTAAAATGAACAAGGATGCCATTGAGTCCTCTGTGACTTACGAGCCATTTTTCAGTCTAGGCTTGGAATGTCAGCAAGAGTGGGCAGGTGAACACAGAAGGCCGAGCAGACTCTTACAGAGCAGCCTCCTCACGTGCCCCAGCCCCAGGACAGCCCCATCCACGCCCTGCTCTGGCACCTGAGGGCACAGTAGGTGATTTCCTCCACGTGCTCGTTGAATAGCTCCTTTGCTGCATGTCGGAAGACATGTGCCAGGTGCCCATCCGAGCCAGCTCCGTCATGGCGCCTCACTGCTACGTCCTTCATGTCACCAAACCTGGCCAGGCAGACAGAAGGCAAGTCCCCTGCTGATGCCGAGGAAAAAACCACAGCAGGTACAGCCCAGACTCCAAAGTGTCAGGACCTGAGGGGGCCACTCAGAGAGCTAAATCCTTAACTATATGGAAACTTTTAAGGAAAACTGCACTGAGGTTTAATTATTATAAGAAATTTCATTTTGTATCTTGTCTGGGACTGCAGACAAGGTCATGCTCCTTGCTGGTTCATTACTTCACTCTCCTCCTCTAGCTGTGTGTGCATATGGAGGGACAAGAACTGTATGACTGAGAAGGCAGCTCTAGCCAGGAGCTCTAGCCCTCCTGAGAAGGGCAGAAATGCAGCCCCAGCCCACAGTGTTACAAGAGTATGCACAGCCGGCAATGCAGTGCTCTCCGCATGGCGCGCAGATGCAGTGTGAGCCACAGTCCTCGCTGGACGTCAGGGTCACTCCATGGAGCAGAGACCAGGGGCTATGCTTCGGGTACAGAAGGCCAAGGGAACCACAGCACCGGATGCCAGAGTGCAGGACACTGGTGGATGAGCTGCAGCACTGCCCCGCACAATGTCTATGCTGCCCTTCTACATCAAGGTCTGCACTGCATGCGAGGGGATGCCCCCTGAGACTTTGGCAGCAGGTCTAGACTACGTTCACTCAAAAAGCCACAATGATAACTTGTGGCCTGGGGAGCAGGGCACAATGTGGGCTGGGTCACAAGGGAAGGCAGCCTGAGGACTGGAGAGTGGCCCAAGAACTCATAGGAGGCCTAAGAGACTAGAGGACTTCCTGCAAAAGTCACTTACAGAGTGTCCACAGCAGCGTCCTTCACTGAAAGTCCACTCTGCTCCATTATCTCAGCGATCTCACCTGAAGATGGACAAGAGGCGTGAGGGTACTGAGGACAGATGGCTCAGGCTCTTCTTCCCTGGAGGACATTCTATACTGCTCTGTTCAACCTCTACCAGACAACACATAGGAGCCCATCACATTCGTAAAGTAGCACAAAATGAAAAGCACCCATGAAATGTAAGACCAGAATTCCTCTTTCAGTCCTGTAACTACAAGCAACTGCTCCACGTTGTTCCCAAGTGTAAATTTTTTGTGTATGATGCAAAACGTGCTGCGCTTATGCACTGAAAATTAAAACCACTTTCTATATTCTACACAGTAGTCCTGAGACAAAAATGCTTTCCCTCCCAAGACACAGAACCAGCTGGAGACTCTAAAAATAACATCTGAAACGTGCCATTGGCATGGTGGCTGAAAGCAATGTCACAGGAGCAGATGTGCTATTCTGCACTTTACTCTGAATGTAAAAGCTTCTCTTGGGTAATTTTGTTAGGACAGCAAGGGTCACAGGTGAGTTTCCCTGCCCAGGGATATTATGCTAAATGGCCTGAGTTTACAGGCCAGCTGCCCGAGTGATTGTCAGTGCACACACAGGTGGCTCAGAGCTGTGCTACCACCTAGCCAGCAGAGCCCTTGCTAGTGTCCAGGCATAACTGCCCACCTCTTACCTGATGTCAACACACAATCAGTACCCCGGGTGCCAGGCAAAGCAGTGGAGAATCCCTCCTGAAGAGCCTCCAGCTTCCTATCATAGCAAGGAGCCACAACTACATGGAAAATCTTCTCTGGAGAAAGGTTCTGTGGAGAGAGAATGCCATTCTCAGGGCTGGTGTGGAAGCAACCAGAACAGCTTTTAGTTGGTGCCCAGAGCAGGAAGGCACGAGGGACTGCAGAGTGCCACCCTCTGCCCTACCCCATGGCTCCACACCAGTCCATGTACACGTGCTGTATTTCTGCAGTTGTACGCACAATGGGATCCTCAAGGCCCAGATGCCTGAGAAGCCTCCCAGGAAGGACCAGGAAGCCAGAGCCCCTTTCTTCCTGAGCCCAAGTACACAAGGGTTAAAAGACAGGCAGGGTAGGTGTATGCTCTACTTGATGTATCTGCCAACTTCCTTGAACTCAAGTAACATTCTCCCAGGCCGACCCTTTCTGGGGGCTGTGCTGAGATAACCAGGTGTTCTAGGCGAGCCACAAGTGGGCAAAGCAGGATCCAGCAGTTACCAAGTGACCGAGTGACACTTGCAGTGGGATAGGGCAAAGTCCCCAGGGAAACCTGCCTCAGCCACAGTGCTGCGCCAGGCATTAGGGAAGCAGTAGCCTGAGGCTAGTCTCAGGCTGACTGTCCCTAACAGCACTTACAAGAGGCTCAGATCTCTGGGTGTCAGCAAGGGATGGCAGACAAGGGAAGGGGGAAAGTCTCCCCACTCAACTCCATGCACATGCCAAATGCACACTCTGACAGCACATTTGTAATCTGCCAAGGCTGGTGCCTTTGTGAGCTGAGCGGGAAAAAAGAGAACATTTCCTATGTCAAAATAACAAGGCTTCCCAGAATGTGTGGCTCTAAACATTTGGAAAATCCTTGCTTATGTTGTCTTCTCTGGTCACGAAGCCCAGACACGCCTGTCTGAAGAAGGATGGACAGCAGCAGCCAACGAGGCCTGAGTTTCCACAGGCCAAGGGCAGGAGAACAGAAGGCTCAGTAGGAGCAAGCAGGAACCCCAGGTTGGATCTCACTCTGAAAGTCATGTGGAAGGCAGGACCAAGACTAGAGCAGAATCACATAGAAGTAGCTAAGAGAGCCACATGGTACCTGTGGTTGGAGGGAAAGGTAAGGAAAGAGGTGACATGTGGTTCCCTGAGTGACAGCAGCCCTGGGTCCTTGCCAGGTTTCCTCTGGGAAGGATGACACAAAAGCAGGCAGCAGCATTTCTGGAGGTGGCCCAGGTCCTTCCCTCACTAAGGTGGTCACTGTTTCTACCCTGGGTAGATGGTCCAGGAAAAAAGGTTAAAGAGAAAGGCTTTGATTATGACAGTGAGACACAGATGGACACAGCAAGAAGGCACTATTCCAGAAGGAGAGTTCACCCTGGACATCAGGTCATCTCCTCCTGACCCACATGCTTTGTTCTGAAGATCAGCTTACCTGCCGTTTGGCAAAGTAATCCTTCACTAAGGAGCCCATGACCTGCTGCGGCGACTTGGTGGTGCACAGGTGGGGAGTGACGGGACGGCCCAGCACCCGCTCAGCATAGCGGACCCAGCCTGAGGAGAGAGTCCACTAGGTCAGTCATCAGCCCCTCAGCCCAGGGAGAGGCCTGCTTGGGCCCCAAAACAGTTCGTGCAGCAGTCCTCCATGGCTTAGGGGTGGGTCAAGGGAATTGTCAAGATTCAAGGTTACTGGGAAATGGAAGTCCCCTGCAGGTTCCAAGGAAAAAGCACTAAATGAGAGAAATGTGAGTTAGGGCAGCAGGTCACCCCAAAGAGGGCAAGACAGCAAGCTTCAAGCAGTTAGCAACGAGAAATCCACCATGCCAGTCGTGAGGTTCAGGACATCGAGATAAGTGGCCACAGCTTAGGCAGGAGAAAGCAGAAGCTACACACTACCAAACTGTGCTAGTCTGATGGACAGAGCTATGACCAGCCACTTATTTTAGAGCAATGAAGAGAAATTTGCATTCCCTAAGAAAACCACCAATATGAAATTTGTACGGTGTGCCCTTCTGCTCTGCCTGGTTCACTCCCACCTCCCGAAAAGCAGACCTGATCGGGGGCCAGCTGAGCTCGCAGCCTGAGTCCACTGCAGGAACCAGGCTTGCCCCCCTCTCCTTGAGAGGGAAGGTGGTGAGTGCTGTGACCAAACCCACTAGCTCAGCCTCCTGATACACTCAAGGACACAGCAGTGTGAATGGAGGGCACTGGAGCCCAGAGCTAGATACTGTTGGGAAGGAGGCTGGAGACTTGAGACTCCCCCAAGCAGGAGAAGCTCATGGGAGCAACCAAACTCTTAAGCCCTGGTGTCACCTGTACAAATGTCCCCGAACACTCTGGAAATACCTGGTGACAGAAGCCACTCAAAGATGCTGTAGGGAGCAGGGTACTCCCTAGTCTACCTCAGCTCTACAGTTTAAGAAGGGAAAGTAGAGTCATCGTACCCTGATCTCATTATATAACACAAGATGATGGCAGCAGGCCCCAGACATAGGCCCTTGAGGACATCAGCAGTGAGCCTAATGGAAGCAAGATCGGGCAACTTACAAGAGGTGAAACAAGACAGAAGCCAAATCCAAAACAAAAAACCCCAAAAAAGCCAGGCGTGGTGGCATACACTTATCATCTCAGCACTTGGGAGGCTGAGACAGGACTGCTGCATATTCGAGGCCAGCCTAGGTTACATAGTTCAGGGGGAACCTGGACTATAGAGCAAGACCTTGTCTCAAAAAGACTAAAACCAAAACATGAAAACAAAACCCTCCTCAAAACAGAGGTTAGTAGGTGGTCCAAAGAGGATGGTTGGTGGCTCCTGTAGCTGAGCAGGACAGTGGAGACCAAGTGGGCAGTTGAAGTCCAGGTCCTCAGGGCTCCTACGTGCTCCTCATACTCGAGCCCAAGAACAGCAGACAGCGAACTTTTCTGCCAGTACTGGAAACTGAACCCAGGTAGTACTGAGCTACATGCCTAGCCACCACTTTTTTCCTTTCCAGTTTGCTTAGGCAGCATCTATGTGGTCCAGCCTGGCCTCAAACTCACAGCAGTCTTCCTGCCTCAGCCTCTGAAGTGCTGAGATTACAGGTGTGTGTCACCACATCTGGCTTCCCACCTTTCTTAAACACATTTTGAGATAAGGCCTGCTAAATTACTTTAGCCTCAAAATTGCAATCTTCCTGCCTCAGCCTCCTGAGTAGCAGAGATTACTGGCATACACTACCATGCCTGGTTCAAGGATATTTTTGGTAAGATTTTGTTCCTGAGCACCTGCCATGGAGACTCTTGCTGTCAGAATGAAGAAGCCATGGAGGCACATGCCTGTAATCCCAGTACTTAGGAGGCCAAGGAGGACTGTTGTGAGTTTAGGCCTGCCTGAACTGCACAGCAAGAACCTGTCTCCAAAAAAAAAAAAAAAAAAAAGAAGAGGAGCTACTTGCTGACACGGCAGCACCAGTACCAAGGGCAGCCCCTCCTCCTAAGGGGGCTGTGGCACAAAACATCAACCTACCACTCCTTGGAGTGAAGGTGTCTGTAGTAAGAGGGCTAGCTTGAGGGACTCAGTCTGCCCTTAAGCTCTTTTACTAGGACTGAAGAGATGACATCACACAATTCTGCTGGAGTAGACTGGGGTCCCACAAGGCCTTAGAGATATGCCTAGAAATCATGTAACCCCCTTTCTGTGCCAGGCACTAGACAAAACTGAAGCCCAGCAGGGTGGCACCCCAAGTCTGTGGGAACTAGAGGCCAAGAACAACTGGAGGCTGTCCAAGATGCTCCTTAACGAGTCCCAAGGAGGGACGTGGCTGTGAGGCCCCGAGTCAGGGAGCTGGCACACATACTGTGTGAAGTTGGTTGACTTAGGGTTGCTTCAATTATATTACCTGTCAGCAACAGACAGTGGTAAAGCTTTAGCTCTGAACCAGAGGTCAGTATCCTCTTCCTGAACTTGGGAGGTGGCATAACCCTCACCTGTGGTGGCATAGCCATCACCAGCATTAGTTTTGGCACCTCAAGAAAACCTACCATTACCCAGGAAAGAGGCCCTGAAAGGCAGCAAGCCTCAAGATAAAGTAGGACAGGTGGCAATGGGCTGGCTTGTAGCTGGTGACTTGGGAACAGAGTTCAGGGACATATTCCCAGAGACACTGTCCCACATGTCCCCATTTAGCTATTTGTTGCCATGGGTGGAGAGCTTGCTGGTTTCTGCATGAATCAGCTGCATGCATGTCAGCTTTTCCAGAGAACTGAGGGCTCCATCCTATGTTCCCCTGGCAGGATCTGCACATGAGGAAAAGTACATCTGCTGCTTAGAGAGCACCTCACTGCCCTGCCCACTGGAACCATGGTGTGAACACAGGGATGAGAGTTTGTCAAGCTGAAAGCTGCCTCTTCAAGTAGGAGGAAAAAAAATGGAAACAAAGCTTTTGTAAATAAGGAGGGGTAGAGGGGTTGAGAGGGAAATGGGAAAAAACAGCAAGATACATCAAATACAGGTATAAATTCTCTATGATGAATATCTATCTATCTCCAATAAAAATTTTAAAAATGCCAAAAACCCAAAAGCCTGCCTCTTCCTCCTCTGAGGCAGATGTGACCAACACTGCCCGGTGCCATGAAGCCACACTGCTTGTAGCATCATGTGATGGGCCTCAAGCTAACTGTGGTAGAGCAGCACACAGCTGTAATCCCAGTACTTGGGAATCTGAGGCAGGAGGATCACGGTGAGTTCAAGGCCACCCTGCCTTAAAAGAAAAAAATAGTAACTGGTTTACGCCACATGAACAGAGAATCCCAAGTTTGGTTTGGCACTTTTTGTTCCTCTTTGTACTCAGTTGTATAGCACTTCCAAATATAGAATGAAAACAAAGCTGTTCTGTATTAACCCATCTAAGCAATTAATGTTATGTTTCAAAAACAAATAAAACACACACACGAAAAAAATGGTACTCAGGGGGGATGGAGACACAACCACCAGATACCTCCATAGGTCACCCAGAAGACCTGGAGCTTTCCTAACTCTCACTGTGGTGGTGTCTGTTCCCACACAAACACCCAGAAGGAGGGAAGGGCTGACTCTGATCCTCATGGCCCAGCCAGAGTCCTGAGGACTTCTTGTATTCATTTATACATCTCTCCTTCTTGAGACAAGGGCTGGCTATGCGGTCACGTTGGTGTGGAACTCTCTCGTCTTGGCTTCCTGAGGAGCTGGGACCTATAGATACATGCCACTGTAACCACCTTAGACTTCTAACACAGATTTGTGAATCCCAACCCTGGGACAAGCCATGAACCTGGAACTCATCACCAACATCTCCCACCAGAAGAGGCCGAAGACTGGGGGAAACACAGCTTGGTTAATGAATTAACCAATGCAGCTGCATGGAAAGGGAGAATTTTCTCAGTTTTATAAATAAAAAGTATTCCAAATTTTATAACATCAACATTTTATGAAATTATAATTCTCATGATTAAAGGTTGACATGTATAATGCTAGAAAAATATGAAATCATGATCAGGTTAGGGAAGAAGAGAAACACAGACAAAGCCCTGAACATCCTGGAGCCTACAGTCAGCATAGGCATCGTAGTCTACACTCATGTGCCTGGCTATGTATTTTTATTCTAAGTGAACATCATCCACCAATACAGTAATTCTTTCCTTCCTCTCTTATGCACAGACATAAAAATTTTTAATCCCAAACCTTCCATTTTTTCCCCCAGAATTGATGAGTCTGGGATAATTATTTTCTATACATGATATGATATGAAAGCCCCTGTCAAATCTCACATTGAGATTTAATCCCCACTGTGAGATACTGATGGGGGAATCTTCTTTTTTTTTTTTTTTTTTTTTTGTCTTTTTGAGACAGGGTCTTACTATGCAATTCAGACTGGCCTTGAACTCACTTAGTAGCCCGGGCTGGCCTGGAACTCACAGTGATTCTCCTGCCTCAGTCTCCTGAGTGCTACTGGGATTATAGGAGGGCAGCTGAGGGGAGAATCTTAATCCAACTATGATGTTTGGAAGTCATTTAAGCCAGAGGTGGTGAACCTATAAAATGTATGTTATTTTCTTTTTAAGACAAAAGATGTTATGTACGGGTTTTTTTCTTGTGTTTTGTTTTTAAATTAAAACCTCACCATTGGGCTTAACTGGAATTAGACCCATGAATGGGTTTTGGATTGAAGTTTGGATAGTCATCTCTCCTATCCAAGTACTAACCAGACCCGACCCTGCTTAGCTGCCGAGATCAGATAAAATCAGGTATGTTCAGGGTGGTATGGCTAGAGAGTGGGCATTCATCTCTAAAAGGTTTGCCATCACTCATCTAGGTTAAAGGAAGCCATAAGGGTGGGGCCCTAGGCTAATGGGTCCGTGGCTTTTTAAAAAGGAGTGGAGGTCTGAACTAAAGACACTGCTGTGCCATGCGATGGCCTATGCTGCCTATTCTGTCGGTGCTGCAGAGCTCCCAAAAGCAAGGAGGACCTCTCCAAACGCAGAGGCAGGGCTTTCCTCTTCTGAGCCTTCTGAATTGTGCAGCAAATAAACCTTCACTCTCAGCTGGCTGTGGTGGTAGGTGTGTAACCCAGCACTCAGGAGGCTGAGGCAGCAAGATTGCTGCTAGTTGAAGGCTATCCTGGGGTACAGAGTGAGTTCAAAACCAGCCTGAATTCCATAGCAAAAATCTGCCTAAAGCAGCAGAACAAAGCAAACAACAAATGCCTTTGTTAAGTTATTCAGAGTACATTACTGAGTTATTTCAAAAGAAAACTTTAGGAACCAACTAAAATTAATTAAAGAGTGATTTAGACAAGTTTAAAAATAGTGTAATTAAGGGCTAGGGAGATACTTCCATGGCCTAAGCACCTGCCTGGCAAGCACAAGGACCTGGGTTGGATCCCAAGTACCACACGCCACGCCAAACCACGCTGAGCTGGCCACTGAAACAAGGCATGGTGGTGCATGCCTGTAATCCCAGCACTGGGAAAGCTGAGACAGGAGGATCACTACAAGTCTGAGTTTCATAGAAGACCCTGTACCAAATAAATAAATAAATTTTACATAGTGTAATTAAAACATCTGTAAATTACAAAAGGAGTGGTATATAAAACAGATCCTAAACTGGGCATGGTGGCACATGCCTCTAGTACTGGCAGCTGAAAGCCTAGGGCATGAGGATCCCAAGTTTGAACCCAGCCTGGGCAACACAGTTAAAAACTTGTCTCAAAATAACAAATTTTAAAAATCTGGGGATGTAGCTCAGTACAAAAGCCCTGAGTTCAATCTTTAGTATCACCAAACACAGAACATAAAAAATATCACAATGCTTGCTTTAGAAATTTCAGAAGCATGTATAAATGAATACAAGACCTTAGCTGGGGCTGAGGGTGTGGCAGAAGCGCAGTGCCTGGCTAGCATGCCAGCACTGGTTTAACACATTTATGACAGAGCTGTAACTCTATGTCTTGCTGCCAGGTGGCTCTGGTTTAAACTCAACTGTTCCTGATGGCTTGAAGCACCATAGTACATATATGACTGTCCCAACAGGCAGCTTGAGCTACCTGTGGGGGCACATAATTGATACAATAATACCATCTTATTTTTTATCCCTAGCACTACAAAAACAAAACACCGAAGAACTTCAACTGTCAGGCTATCCCAAAACTAACCAGTCAGTAGAGAAGATACACTGGCAGACAGAAGGGTGTGCGTATGGACAAATCCTGCTTGGTCTACAAGGCCGAGCAGGCTGGGACCCCAAGGCCTCTCACCAGGCCTCCCCCAGCTCGGGCTCCAGGGAACAGGCCTCACCAGGGCAGGCAGAGGTCAGCATAGGCAGCACACGCTGCTCATCACTGTGCTGATGGTATCGACGCACAAATTCTTTCTGACTCTCCAGGATGCTGAAATCCGCAGCTATCGTCATGTCAAACACATAGTGCACCCCTGCAGGAAAGAGGAAGAGGGTGGTTTTCAGCACAGCATGAGCGCACACCTAGCCTGGCCTGCCAGCTGACTCACTGCTGCTACCCCAAGTGGAGACAGACCCAGGGAACAGGTTCTGTGGCGCCTGTCTCGAAAGCCAGCTCATCTTGTGTTACTGATGGCACTGCAAGCCTCTACCGCTGAGCTACATCCTAGCCTTTTCTGAGACAAAATCTCACTAAATTGCCCAGTCTGGTCTCAAACTTGTGATCCTCCTGCTTCGGCTTTCTCATGTCGGGAACACAGGCATGTATCACTGCATCTGGCTACATGCTTTAGCTTTTTGTGGTACAGGGAATTGATTAGAGGTATACGCTACCACTGAGCTACACCCTAGACCTTTTAAAAATATATTTGGACAGGATCTTACTATGTTATCCAGGCTGGCCTTGAAACTTGTGATCTTCCTGCCTCAGTCTTCGGAGTCGCTATGACTTTATTGACAAGCACCACTGTGCTTGGTATAATTTTCTGTTGTTTCTTACCACTCAGAGGGCTGAGGCAGGAGGATGTCTGAGTGGGAGGTCAGCTTGGAGTACAGAATAAGTTTAAGGCTAGCCTGAACTACATACCAAGACCCTATTTTTAAAAACTTAAAGAAGAAACAGGGCCGGGGAGGTAGCTCAGTGGAATAAGTGCTTGCCTGGCAAGTACAAGGTCCTGAGTTTGATCCCTGGCACCACCAAAAAAAAAAAAAAAAAAAAGAAGAAGAAACAGAAGTTTTAAAGTTTTGTCTTAAGAAGAAATTAATGGACTGGCCAGACAGCTCAGTGGACTAAAAGCACCTGCTTAGGCATAGTGCAGTGACTGGGGTTCAATCCGCAGTGTGCCAGCTCTGCCTTTGGGGCATGCTGAGATGGTGATTTGAGACTGGGCATAGTGGCACATGCCTATAATCCCAGTGCTTGGGAGGCTGAAAACAGGAGAATCACTGAGTCCGATCTGTGTAGTGAGACCCTATAGACCCTGTACTAAATACATTTAAAAAAAAAGAAATTAGTTTCACTGGAAATATTTTCATTATACTTATAATATTCAATTACTTTTTAAAAAAATTTTTTTTAAAAATTTATTTATTTATGTGTGTGTGTGTGTGTGTGTGTGTGTGTGTGGCCAGCTCAGCCCACCAGGGGGCGGGGCTGGCTGGCATGTGGTGCTGGGGGATTGAACTGCGGTCCCTGTGCTTTGCTAAGCTTGTTCTAAGTAGGTGCTTTAGACCACTGAGCCATCTCACCAGCCTCTCAATTACTTTTTAAGACATGGTCTAGCTATGTAGTTCAGATGGCCTCAAACTCATAGCAATGCTCCTGCATCAGCCTCCCAAGTGCTGGCTTCAATTATATTTAAGATGTCTTTTGCAATGAGACCAATTGGCACCCTGAAATGTTGGTCTATGGTCAGCTAGGCCAGCCTGAGGCTCCCTGAAGCATGCTGAAGTGACTGTGGGGTCCTCAACTGTGTGGTGGGGTGCAGTCCACCATGCTGTCATCCCAGGGCCTTGGCCTGCTTCTCTTACATAGAGCTTGTTCTGCTGGTGCCCATTCCAAGCATCATTTTATTATTAATCCCCAACACTTGTACAACTTCAAAAAGCCATTATGGAGCCGGGTGTGGTGGAGCTTGCCTGTAATCCCAGCACTCTGAGAGGTTGAATGATCAAGTTCTAGCCTTGCCTGGGCAGCTTGGTGACTTAGTGAGACCCTGCCTCAAAATTAAAAAAGCTGAGGATACGTTGCAGTACGAAGGCCCTATATTTAATACCTAGTCAGTGTCACCAGGAGAAAAAGCCACGACTGTGTACTAAGTTTCACTGGCTGATCACTTTTCTGCACTTATCTGCTGGCTGCCAAGCCATGATGCCAGGGCCCTTTGGACACCACTGCACCCAGATGGGCTCCACGGTACAGGTGCACAAGTGAGCCCATCTTTCAGGCAGCATCATGCCCGTGTGAACAGCCGGGCTTAGTTCCTGTTTTGTTTCATTTTTTAGAGAGAGTCTCACGTACAGCGCCTGCTGCTCTTCAATTCCACCTCCTAGCTCAGCCTGCAGGTGTGCTGTGACACCCAACTCCATATGTTCTCTCTAGTTATTACTGGAGCTTGACCCAGGGCCTCCACATAGAGCTGTATCCCCAACCCTCACTTTTTGAAAATTTGAGACAAAAAAATTGTCTTGCTGTGTCACTAGATTATCTATGCAAGAACTGTATCCTTCTGCTTCAGCCTCCAGAGTGCTGCCAGTTGACTATATTCTTTTTTAAAAATCTTTTTATTTATTTATTTTGTACAGGATCTTGCTACGCAGCTCGGACTCATAGTGCTCCTCCCAGAGCTGCAGAGGCTGAGACGGTATTACAGGCATGTGCCACCAAGCCCAATTTTGGTGGCCAGGTTGGCGCAGGGTTGGCACGGCATGCAGTACTGGTACTGGTACCAGGGATTGAACCCAGATTCTTACACTTGTCAGGCAGCACTTAGACTGCCAAGCTATCTCCCCGGCCTTCCTGACTGTATTCGTAACCAACCACCTTTCACTCACTCTTCACACGAAGTACACACAACTATTTCCTCCCCATACTGCTCTCAGGAGAGCGTCTTGGTATTTTTTGTTTTGAGATAGGCTGCCCTTGAGCTCATGGTAATCCTGTTGCCTCCATCTCCCAAATGCTAGGTTTGCAGGCATGTGCCACCATGTCCAACTGAGAGCTCCTTTGGGAAACCATGCACACACACTTAAGATGTGACTGGCACATAAACACATCGTGTATGTGTGTATGTGTGTGTGTGTGTGTGTTGCATGTGGAGGCTGCGGGGCATGTGTGGGAGCCTTCCTGCCATGTGTCCTCACCTGGGAGGGGTCAGCTCTTGCTGCAACAGAACATCCATGGAGGCAAGCAGGGGTAAGTAACACCCTCATGTCCCTGGAGGCTGGAAGCAGGCCTCTCAGGACCGGGTCCCCTGTGCTGGAAGACACTCCTACAAGCCTGCCACCCTTCTTACATGAGCAAAGTGTTAAGAAGTTCACACGCTCCCAACCACTTACCCCCAGCACCACTCACCAAGGCTCTTCAGGAAGCCACTCAGCCGTCTGGATGCATCAGTGACACTGAGGTTCAACTTAGCAGCAAAATAAGGCAAAGACTGGGGACATACAGACACGACCAGCACTTTGTGCTTTGAGGTATCACATTTCTAGAAGAAGAAAGAAGAGAATAATGTCATGCATGTATATGCTCGTTACACAAGAGACACTTTGATGAAAGACTCAAAACAGAATCCAACAGATGTTCTGTGCAGACCAGGAGATAAATACTAGCAACCTAAGAAAAGAGAAGAAAAAATATAATTAAGCATGAAGTTACGCTGGGCAGGGTGGTACACACCTATAATTTCAGCACTTTGGGAGGCTGAGGCAGGAGGATCACTACAAATTTAAGGCTGGCCTGGAGGACAAGGAGTTCAAGGCCAGGCAACGACATGGCAAGGTTCTGTTTCAAAATAAAAGTTCAGGCCCAGCCTGGGTAACTTTATTTTAAAGTAAACATAACTATGTGGGTAATGATTTCTTTCTCTCTCTCTTTTTTTTTTAGGAACCGGGGATTGAACTCAGACCCTCGTGCTTGCCAGTAAAGCACTTACTCTACTGAGCTATCTCCCCGGCTCCCTCTCTTTCTTTCTATGTATTTAGTACAGGGTCTATAGGGTCTACAGGGTCTCACTATACAGAATAGACTCATAGTGATTCTGTTTTCAGCCTCCCAAGTTCTGGGATTACAGGCTGCGCCACCACGCCCAGTCTCAATCACCTCTCAGCCTGGGCGGGGCTGCCAAAGGCACCACTGTGCTCTGCTTAACCAGGTGCTTTAGTCTGCTGAGCTATCTGGCCCTTGGGTAATGATCTTAAAAAAAAAAAAAAAAAAAGGGTTAGGTGGGGATATAGCTCAATGCGAAGGCCTTGGGTTCAATCCCCAGTACTGCAAGAATAAATAAGTAAATAAATAGAGCTGAAGATGTAGCTCAGTCATAGAGTATCCCCGATTTTGTTTTTTTGGCGGAATCAGGGATTGAACTCAGGCCCTTGCACTTGCCAGGGAAGCGCTTATTTCACTGAGCCAACCTACACTGGTAGTTCTGTGACGAAGGCCAGCAGGGTACTGGAGGAGGGAAGCTGAGGATGGCACTTCCTTGAGGTGCCTCAACCTCACTTTCTGTTCTCCAATGGACCCTGGTTCAGCTCTAAAAACACTGCCCGGCTGTCCATGAGCTCCAGGGTTGTTGCGTGACCTCCTCTGGCTGAGGTCTCCCTCAAGCCAAAGAGATTTCTGGGTGTGCCAGTCACTACCTCAGCCCTTGGGATGGAGAGCAGACCTCAGAAGTACTACAGCAGGGGCTCCAACGGCATAGGGAGAAGCTGAAAGTATACCTGATGGCAAAGCAGAGGCTTCCATGTACCTCGCGACATAGCTCATCCTGACATCCACCCCCACATCCAGGCTGGCTCCCCCCGCCCACTGCCAGCGAGTGTCCCAGGCACCATACCTTATTAAGGTTCAGGACCCGGAAGAAGTCCTTGGCATTCTGCTGACAAAGCTGGGCTCCTTCCTCTGCAGTCACGCAGCTGTCACATGCTAGGCAGTCACTCAATAGTATCTTAGCATCAGCCAATTTATGGAATTCTCCCTTCTATGGAAGAAATTGATACCCAGAGTTAACATGTGCTCTTTACGAGGATACCAGCAAAACACCTCTTGTAAACAGATATGATGTCAGGGGACAGGCCTGGCATGCAGCAGAGCAACCTGCTCTGAGCAGCTTGTGTGCAGACACAGGGCATGGCATCCTGCCCACAAGGACACCAGAGAACCATGAGGAGGACAAGGGGAGAACCAGAGCCAGACTGCCAAGTGTAGATGATACTGTGTGCCAGCTACCTCCTCCAGGGCACCTTGGTCCCTCCCCAGTCCCTTGACTTTGCCTTGGCTTTCCTGCCTGGCTCCTCAGCTATGCATACCCTTGGCTCCCCCAGCCCCGTGGCTCGCTGAGTGCTCACCCTCCAGGCTCAGGAGGTTGTGCACAGCAGCCTGCCGCTTCAAGTTCTCTAAATATCTGTGCAACAGTTCCTCAAAACCAAACCAAACCAAAACAAACAGGTCCTGAAGCCACCCAGGACTGAACTGCAGGGGCTTATACCCACCCCTCCCCGACCTTGGTAGAGCAACTTCTCAAGGGGATGCTGACACCACAGAATCTCAGCCACCCTGACAGCTTCCTCTCCTTCCCCAATGGCCTCTGTCCTCAACTCTGGGCTTCAGTGGTCCCCAGACCTCTGTTAAAACATGAACCACCTTTCCACTAGAAAAGTTGCCTTGCAATTCTGCAATACCACCCTTGTCAGCCTGATCTCCATGCACAACGAGGCTGGCCCTAGGTGACCATCACAGAAACACCCCAAGAGCTGTTTTCCAGGTCCTGGGCTAGACCCGAGAATCTCTCCCCATCCTTCCTGTCCACTTCTGTCTCTTGCATGCTGCAGGCTCTGCAGTGTTTCTCCCTTATCCTCTACTCCCACAGTGGCTGGCCTGCCCTGCTGGTACACTCTCCATCCAGACCTCTGGCTGGCTCCCCAGGCCTCCCAAGGGGCTTTGGGGATTCTTCCCCCTATTCCTAGCAACTCACACCTGCTGTTCTTGTCACCAGTTCCAAATACCCAAACACACACTTGAGGCTTTCTCTCCTTGAGGAGCCCCTCCACAGCTCCATATGGCACCCACCTGAGCCTCTCCTTGGTCACATGCTGACCAAGCCTGAAGTACTACATTTCTGTCTGAGGTGATGCCACCTGGGGCAGGGAGGGAGGGCACCTAGGACTGGCTGCTACACAGCTCAAACCCTCAATGTCTCCTGGCTCCACTATTCTCTGCTGCAGGTGGCCAGCTCTGCCTGTGCTTGTCTTCTGCTCTGCTGGTTGTAAACCTCAATATCCAGAGCTCTGACACGTAGGGTAACCAGGTAGATGCCTGTCAGGTAAAATGGCACCTTAGAACTACTGAATTTAGCCAGCATGGTGCATGCCTGTAATCCCAGCACTCTGGAGGCTCAGGCAAGAGGATTATTGCAAGTTCAAGCTCAGCCTGGGCTACTAAGTAAGCTCAAGGCCAGCCTGAACTGCATAGCAAGACCCTGTCTCA